ACTTTTCAAGTATAAGACTTCAACACACAGGTAAGTGAGATATACAGAACACAAACCAACTAGGATGAGGAAAGAAACTCTCCATGACATATCTGAGTCAGAATTTCCAGATGTCCATTAAAAACTATAGAATCTTAAAAGCTGTCAGTGTAATGCAAAAAAAAAATTTCAAGAACAGTGGACCCTTGACTTATGCACTCAATTTGTTCCCAAGGGCTGGTTATAACCCAAGTTGTCAACTGAAGGATCAGGCTCCTCTACTCAGCCTTCAAAGTCTCTCTCTGGTATACAAGCAGATCTCAGTGTCCTTAGATAGACATTGGCCCAGGATTTCTCAATTAACCCCATATAGGAAAGAATGTGGCAATGCTCCTTTCAGAATGCTTTAAAGGTTAACCCTGTATCTTAGACCATCTGGAAGCACAAGTGGCTGGCATTTGCACTGTAATTTAAGACTTTGGTTGTAAAATTCTAGTCATAACCAAAGTTGTTTGTATGGCAGGCTGATCATAACTCAAGGATCCAGTGTACAGAGGTAAACCCATTAAGATTACAGCAGACCTCTCAACACAGAATCTAGAGGCCAGGAGAACCTGGAGTGATGTATTTCAAATCCTAGAAGCAACCAATTTCCAACCCAGATTAACATGGCCTACAAAATTTTCTTTCAAAATATATGAAGAAATAAGGATCTTCCACGAAAAAGAACAACTTTTGAGATTCATAAACTCCAAAGCAGCACTCCAGAAAATACTCAAGGATATCCTAGTTAGAAGCATGAAGCCAACAGACCCTAAATCCAGATGTAATGTATACATCAGGCAAGGTAAATAGATAAAAAAGACAAACAAGAGAGAAAAAGAAAGCAGCCATCAACACAAAAAGAACATAATGAAGGGAATAAATCAATAGCATTCAGTGATAACTCTCAATGTTAACAGCCTTAGTTCCACTATTAAAAGATGAAGAAGACTGGGTCAAAAAACAGAGCCCAACAGTCTGTTGCATTCAAGAAACCCATCTAATAAAAAAGGTATTCATAGACTAAAAATTAATGAATGGAAAATAATATTTCATGCACCAGACTTTAAAAGCAAGTTGGGGGTAGCAATTTTATTCTCAGACAAAGTAAACTTCAAGTTAATGAAGAGGCATTAGAAGAGTCATAAAAGACCATTGCTTACTAGTTAAGGAGACAACCTTCAAGGAAGAGATAACAATCTCAAATATATATGCACCAAACACTGGTACACCTAACTTCATAAAACAATACTGGTGAACATAAAAGTTCAAATAAACATGAACACAATCACAATAGGTGATCTCAATACTCCACTTTAACAAAGAGACAGAGCAACAAAACAAATTCTCAACAAATCTCAGAGTTGAACCACATCTTTGAACAAATGGACTTAATACATATCTATAGGGTGTTCCACCCAACAATAACAGAATACACATTCTTCTCAGTAGCATGTGGATTTTTCTCCAAAATAGACCTCATACTAGCTTATAAAGCCTGCTTAATTGAATACAAAATAATCAAAGTCACTCCATGTTTACTATCAGACCATTGTGCATTGAAACTAGAAATCAATCACTGCAAAACCCACAAAAAATTTAGAAAACACCTGGAAACTTAGTATTACAAACAGATTACAGAAGAAATCAAAGAAGAAATTAACAATTTTTGGAAGCAAATGACAGTGCTAGTAGAACACATCAAAACCTATGGGACACACACACACAAAAAAAAAAAACAAAAAAAACCTATGGGACACAGTAAAAGCTGCCTAAGAGGGAAGCTCATTGCAGTCAATGCTCACATTAGAAAAACGGAGTGAACTCAAATAAATAACATAATGATGAACCCCAAGATACTCAGAAAGCAACAGCAATCCAAAGACAAATCAAATTTAAGGAAGGACATCATAAATATCAGAGTGGAAATTAATGAAATTGAGACTAAATAAACAATGCAAGGAATCAACAAATCAGACTGGTTCTTTGAAAACAAAATGTGGTATCTATATGTATTGGAACACTACTTGGCTCTAAAGAAGGTTAAATTAGAGACATTTGTAGGGAAATGGATATACCTAGAAAATATAATGTTAGGTGAAATAAATCAGACATGCAAATTTAAATACCAACTACCCACAATGACTGTAATCTTTATAGGTTTTAGACATGAATTAATAATAATAATAATAATGTAATAATAAAAATGGGGAAAGGGAATCTAGAGAAGAAGGATGAGAGGTGGATTGGGAGGGGAAGGGGAATAAAAGGAACCAAGGTATGTTTAGTACATGTATCCACTTCCTAAGATTAATATGAACATCATGTACTTCAAACCTCCTGTACTAATAAAAACCCTGTTCATCCATAGTATAACTCATCTTCTCTCTTAGATCTGTGTCTTCTCATAGTCTTTTTAGCTTTTATGATATAATAATGTCTCAGTTACTTTTCTCATTGCTGAGACCAAACATCAGACACCCAAAATTGACAGGGGGAAAGGTTTAGTTAGCTCACAGTTGGTAGAGGTTTCAGTCTGTAGTCAGCTGGCTTGAGGGCAGGGTGGGCAGGCAGAGGGACATGGCAAAAGTGAAACAGTTCATGATGGGCAGAAGGCAGGAAGGTAGCAAAGCAGTAACGTGGTGAGGAAACCAGCAGTAAGTGATAGAAACAGTCACAGTAGCAAAAAGCCTCCCTTTGTTTACCATCCAGGCTACAGCACAGCCAGGGTGGAGCTTCCATTATCCACCCTCCTCATCCCAGCATCAAGTACTCTAGACCCAGCCACCTCTGAAAAGTCCCAGCTATGGTTGTATGAGGCTTAGGGGGAACATCTAACATAAGCCATAACACATAGTATAGACAGAACTATTAGATCTTATGTTCTATGATCTTTCTTTGTAAACATCTAAGCATAACTTCACTGCTTTTTTTTTTTTTTTGAGACAAGGTCTTGATGTGTAGTTTAGGCTCGCCTAGAATTTGCAATCCTCCTGCCTCAGCCTCTAGAAGGCTAGGATCATAGGTGTGCACTATCATGCTCCGCTCAGTTACTGCATTCTAAAAATATAATTTTAAACTGGATTATAATCTGTGCTTTGTTGAAGGGAAAAAATAAACTTGTTCAGGACTAATTCTATTCAAAAGAAATCTATGCCTTTGCAAAAACTATTCTTTGAAGTCTGAAGAGCCTAACTTTCTTTCTGGAAAAAAAAAAATGAGTGGTTTGAAGCATTGCTTCAGATAATAGTACGTAAACTACATGTTCACTTCTGTTTTCTAGCAATTCTCATGTAAGTATTCTTCCTTTCCTTTTGCTCTCCCTCCCTCCCCGCCTCTTTCGCTCTCTCCTTCCCTCCCTCCTTCTCTTTCTTTCTTTTTTGAGTTGGGGATTTTCTATGCTGTCCAGGCTGGCTTGAAACTTCTGGGGCTCACGTGATCTTCCTGCCTCAGCATCCTGAGTAGCTGGGACTACAGGTTCGTATACTTGGTTCTCTCTCTCTCTGAAAATAGTGCATTCTAGTCCCTTCTGATCTCACATACCTTGCCAAAGCCGTGACCTTGCGCACTGCTTTCACTCTGTTGATTTTCCAGGAGTATGTGACGTTTAATGAGTGCCTAAGTTCGTCTTATCCTTGTGTCTTGTGTGCGCGTGAGGGTGCATGTGTGTGTGCCTGTGTGCATACACGTGTGTAAGGATTGGGTTTGCTTGTGAGTGGTGAGGCAGATTGTGGCCTGCTTTAGAGAAGTTTTCCTTCCCTTGCTGCTTGGCAAGGGCAGAGGAGGAACCCTAGCCAGCACTGCGATGTTCAGGCAGCTGTGGTGAGCGTTCAGGGATCCCTGCATGGTGGAGAGGAAGTGTTTGACAGCCTGCAGTTTGATTTGAAGCTGGAGTCTGCCGCAAGTCACTGCTGTGGTCAGATGCTCCACCATCTAAGCCTTGACTCAGAGGCAGCTTCCGGATGTTTCCCAGTGAAGCCTGGCAGCCACTGGAGCTCAATTTCTACCCTGCTTCCCTCCTTCTTCTTTGTATTATCGGGGACTGAACCCAGATTCTTTGCACTGTGCTATCTCCACAATCACTTTCTATTTTTTATTTTGAGACAGGATCTTTCCAAATTACCCAGGGTGGGCTTGAATTTGTGACTCTCCTGCCTCAGCCTCCCAGAACGCCAGCATGAGAGGCGAGGAGCGCATGTTTCTTTGGCTTTCTACCCATCAGTCCAGAGTACGGCTTTCCTGAAAACGTCTTCATCCAGCAACTCCTGGAAAGAGACCTTCAGGATTTAAAAAACAAAGATCAAAAAAACAAGGTAGTATCCCTATGTTATCCAGGTTGATCACAAACTCTTGGGCTCAAATAACATCCTCTTGCCTCAGCCTTCTGAGTTAGCTTGGACTACAGGCGTACACCCCCATGGCCGATTTGAGATTTTTATGTTTCTGGAAACCTCAATAATTGAAAACATTTTCCAAGCACAGAGCCACGCGGGTGTCTGTAAGCAGAGGAGGCGCGGCAAATGGGCCCGGGACTGCGCACACTGTAAACCAGGAAACGGCGTCTCTTAAAGGGGTCAGTAATCGCGAGCCAAAGGGATCAGAGGCCAGCAGAGCCCCGTACGGGCTGGTGCGACCCAGGGCGTGTCCCAAGAGAGTGCTGAACGCTGATGTTGAGCCGGGAGGTAAACAGAGTCGGGTGCAGCAGGGCGGGGCGCAGGGGACCTCAGCAGGCGCGGCTGGGCTGTGCAGGAGCACGGGGCAGGGCGGGGCGGGGCGGGCCTGGCCCCGCCCCCTCCCGC